TTATATATAAGTTACAAATATGTTATTATTTATAATTATAATCTTTTTAGAACAAGAAAAACCAAATTATTGGAGGAAGAAGTATTAAATATATTTGCTAGGTAAATCGTATAACTTGCACTAGCAGTCAATGTACAAAGTTAATGTACGAAATAGCGATGAACTCAAATCTGCCACCAGTAGTAACAGATTCACAGGCTAGCTCAATAAGAAAAACTTAAAGATGCTGTTAACGGCGTCACTAAAAAATCGTGGATCCTACGAATACCATGCAACAATTCGACATATGCTGTTAGATTTGGGTGAACCTTAGTGTAAAATACAGCGCATTCGAATGGTTGATTGGTGATGTGGATTTAGAGCAGGCATTGGGAACCTTGGCGAAAAGGTCGCGCAGAGTTTGGGTGAACCTGCTACTAAAATAACTATTTATTTCCTTAGTGGTTTTTTATGCGCTTTTAGATGATTCTCAACCCAATTTGCTTTAGTGACGTCAAATAATGTAACATTATGTTAGTATATGTATGGAAGTACTTGATTATATGTTGTTCCTAAAAATTTATTGAATTGTTCATAATGGCAGATATGAATTTAGATGTGTGCAGGTGTATAAAATGTGCATCGCTTGGACAATTACACTACATTGGTAGTGCCTTTGCTAGAATACGATTCAACAACACCATGGTTCCAACAATTACGCTAATTGTTCGTTTAATGGCCATGTATAAAAAAAGAAGTTTTTACAATCACTTCAATCCAGAACAAAAAATTTTTCACAAAATGTTGGGTGAATACTTTGCACAATAAATGGACCAACTTTGTGTACAGAAACGACATGTATGAAAAAATTTGAATATCTTACTTGGGTGAGTGACAGTAGAAGCGCAGCAAACATTTGAGACAAAGGCCCGGGAGGCCCTAAAAATGTGCTGTTCCGACGAGGTCGGACCAAAGGGAGAAAGGTGTTAGATGAGTGGGGTTTGTAGGACATGCAAAGAGGTGGTTAGTATTATGCAGAGACTCCTTGCATGCAGGACATACATTGGGTATCCCAGGGTCTTCCTGATAAGTAGGAGTTCCAACTGCTACAATATCCAGAACGAAGTTGCGCTAGGGTCATAAGCGTTTCTCGCGGCAACTGGAACTCTTGGTCTGCAATAGGTGGTGATTTGACTCCAAGAACGCCATTCATGGGAAAGGAGTCGGTGAAGGTGTTGATGGCTCCACTGTGAATGGCGGTTAGTACCTGTCGAAAGTCTGTTGCGTCCGAGGTTCGGTCGTTGTACTGTACGGCGTCATCGACGTGGTCGAGGAATGACCTTTTGATGCTCCTAGGAGGCGGTTCCGCTCCAAGCAGATGGCTGTAAGGGTGGTTTCTACGAAAACATCCCAGCAGGAACTGCTCGAAGAGGAGTTCATTATGCTTCTTAACTGGAAGCATAAGCATCTCACTATGTAGGTGTTCGATGGGAGACATCAAGAGGCATCCCGTCGTGGTCCGGAGTGCTGTATTCTGGCAGGTCTGGAGTTTCCTCATCTGCCTACCACTGCATCCAGGTGACCATATTGGTGCTGCGTAGTTAAGGACTGGCCGGCCGATTGCCGATTGTAAGTTGCCAATAACGTTTCTTTGTCTTTTCCCCATGCGCTGCTGGCTAGCGACTTAAGGATTTTATTTCGGCTCGATACATTGGCGGTAATCGCGGTCGTATGGGGAGAGAAGGAGCATAGACTCTCGAAGGTTACGCGTAAAATCTTAGGGTTATTGACAGTCGAAATTTTTACGCCATCGACTGCAATATGAAGTTCAAGTCTATACTCCTTCGTCCAGTTCGTAAATATGGTCGCTGTGGATTTAGTGGGGGAAAGTATGAGGTTACATGTAGTGAGGAAACGAGAAAGGTCGGAGAGGTAGTTGTTTACCTTCGAACACACCGTCTGATAGTTACGGGAATTTCAAGATGTAGAAGTTGAACAGTAACAGGGAGAGGACACCACCCTGCGGAACCCCTGTTTAATTCTTCTCAGTTTACATGCTTCACCTCGAAATTGTACGGATGACTGACGACCGCTCAGATAGTTCATGGTCCACCTATGCAACCCTGGAGGAAGCGTAGTTTTTTCAATGTCCTGCAATAACGTTGTGTGGTTGGCTATGTCAAAAGCTCTTGACAAGTCCAACGCTACGATGACCGTTCTCTCACAGGGTGGTTTCTGGTTGAGGCCATGAACTATCTGAGCGTTTATAACGTAGTGGACCAATCTTCAGACTTTCCACACATCGGGTACTTGAAGAGTGGTCAGTGACAGGTTGAGGACCTTGGTGAGATATCTTACTCCCATCGAGCCTAGATGCTTTAGCATTAGCATGTTGATTCCATCAGGGTCAATGGATTTAGAAGATTTTGCTGTATTGATGACATTCTGAATACGTGAAAGTAAGCGGCGCGCAGTCGTTTGTCATTTTGCGGAGCCTTCGATTAACATATCTCTTGAATTGAACTTCACCTCGATCGGGTCTTCGGGTTAGACAAAGCTTTGACAGTAGCCCAAAGCATACTTACACCGGTGAAGAGGTTGCAGAACTTCAGGTGCTCTATCCATTTCGTCCGCTTATGATGGTTTACCATGCACCGAATCTCCGAATTGAGATCTCTTATTCGGGAATCCCCTGAATCGGCATGGCGTAACTTGTCACGCTCGTTAGCTAAAACAGCTGCTTCGGCTGCTAAATCGGGGCGGATTTCCGCTATTATGMCAGCCGGGATGAAGCGAGCGGTAGCTGCTGCGATCACCTTGAGGAATTAACGTTCGTAGTCCGTAAGTCCGTAGGAATAGGTAGAGCGTTGAAGGTGCTCTCGGTAAAATTAATGAATGTACGGTTGTCCACAGAAACGAAATCAGGAGGCTTCTCGATCGACATAATTATGGGCAGATGGTCTGATGCGAGAGTTAGCATAGGTCGCCAGGTTATGCTATTTATCAGACCATCACTAGCGATGTTAATATCAGGCGAGCTATTACAGGTGCACATAATTCTGGTGGGGGCTTCGTCACTCATTGTGCAGAATGTCGAATCGTCGATCTGTTCTGTCAGCTCCATCCACTACGATCATTTGACAGGCAGGAATGCCAAAGATCGTGGTGCGCGTTAAAGTCGCCTAGTACCAAACGTGATATACGTGAGAACTACCATAAATAAGTTCGGTTACTAAATATCGTATAAAAATATTTAAGGCTATTCAACAAACTCATTTTCTCATTACGGCTTTTCACCGTTATTTCGAATATTCGAATATTTCAAAACTTGGATTACATGTGGCCAAAAATCATCTACAAGGTGGGTTCTAAAGTAAACAGGCCTTTTTTGAATCTAGCGCTCCCTGGTGGGTGAAGTAATTGCGATTTAAGTGTCAGTATGTTTGTGTTATCGGTGCGAAAATGAGCTTTGGAAAAAGAGCAAATAAAATTAAATTTTATTTTAAAATTTGTAAAACTTTTACCGAAACGTTTCAATTGATGAAAGTTTATGGCGATGATTGCATATCCCGTAGGAGAGTGCACGAGTGGTTTCAAAATGGTCGTGAGGACATAAATGACGATCAACATGTGGGCCAATCAAAATCCGTGATCACCGGAAATTCCATCCAAACTGTGCGTGATTTCATCAAAAATCAGTCGAAATCATCATTAAAATTTATGGAAATGGAATTGAACATCTCCAAAACATTGATTTATCGCATTTTGATCGAACATTTGGGCTTACCGAAGGTGTGTTCACAGTTTGTTCCGCACAAAATTGACTGACGATCAAAAATTTCTCCGAATCGAATAACGATTATTTGACCAAAAATCAAATTTAAGTCATTAATCACTAATATGGAACCGAGCGACTTTTTCCTTTTCAGAAAAATGCACTTTACCATGAAAGGAAAACGGTATGCAGACGTAGAGGCCATTCAAAAGGCTTGCACCGGCATACTGGCAGTCAAACCGGCCAACGAGCTAAAGCACTAGATTCGACATGCTTTTGGACCGTGCATAAGTCTGTATTGAAGCAGAAGGAGACTATCATGAAGAAATAAAATGATTTTGTCGAAAAAACCATTTGTTCTGTTTTTTTAAGTCCTGTTTACTTTGGAACACACCTTGTATTTTTATGGAAGTTTATGGTGAGCTGAGCGTGCGGGCTTAAAGTGATGTGCACGATCAAAAGTGGTGATTTTGACTTAATAGACTAAGAACGTCCTGGACGGCTTTCTTCGATAAAGATCGCTAGAAACATAAGAAACCCTCACGGAAGCTTTGGGAGTCTCAGACAGCCATATCAAAACGTTTAAATTCTATTTGAACGCATTAGAAATAACTCAGTTTTGTTTGTGACTGGTAATGAAGAAGGGAAACATTACGGCAACCATCAACGCAGAAGTCATTACAGAAACTTGACCAATCTGTTAAATTAATGTTAAATTAGCTTACATATGTATACATTTTGTGAATATTAAGAATTAGTAAATTGATGTATTTAGTATTGTAAATTATAGAAAGTATAAAAATATAAATTATTCATAAACCGTATATAATCTTTGTACCAAAAAAATAATGTTACATAGTAACGTACATAATGTTGCCGAAAAATTTCTAGTAAGAAAGAAATTCAGTTTGTAATATTTATATGTATATATAAATAATAATATTTAAAAGCTCATCTAAAACAATTGCTAAACATTTGTAAGAATGACTGTAATAAGGAAAATTTAGTTTGTAACATATATACTTGTATAAATGGCAATATTTAGAAGTTAATCCTAAAAAATTACTGAAAATTTGTAAAAATAGAAAGGAAAAATATAACGAAACAAATTATTTTCATAAAAGATGTCTAACCAAACAAATAGCTGTTAACCGAAGAGTAAAAGATAGTTTTATAATATATTGTAGTTGCAAATAAGAGCAAAAAAATATATGTAGCAAATGCGCAAAATCAATGAGAGAGAGCGAGTGTGCTAACTACACCGACGTGTAGTGAAAGAGGAAAAATAGCTACTTTTTTCCCGAGGCTAGCATTAATTATTGATAACCTATCGATGACAGTTACTTAACTATTACCCGTCTTGTAGTGACTTTTGTTATGTATAACACATATAATCTATTCGCTTACAAATGTATATTTTGTGGGTAAAACATAGGTAACCTCCTCGCTAACAAAAGTAATTGTTATATTTAACAGACTATAAACAGCTCTTTTAACGAATGTATGTTATTTTGTTAACCAAAACATAACAAAGGAAGTGCTCATAAAATATGTAACTTAGAACAGGTTAGAGCGTGAAACCCATGGAACAGCAAATGACGATGTGTTACTTTTTTCACACTCTTTGAACAAAAGTGGCAAATAGTTTAACGTATGCAAAAGTGAACAGTAGCAAGTTGCATACACGTTTGCTAACAGACACGCATCTTGTAGGGAAGCAAAGGTGTTTTATAAAGGCGGTATTTTTAAAATAAAAAATATTGCAGTGTGAGCGCTTCTCAAAATTAGCATTTTTTTATAACATTTTCCACTACAGCCAGATCGGACGAAATAATAATTTTTGGTCATTTAAATTAAAACACCCAATGTTTATTACATTTAGAAACTATTACGTGCAACTATTTTTTTTTTTTTTGGTTTTCTTTGTTATAAATGCGAAATATTATTATTATTAGTTGTATTGCTTCTTTATTATAGTTTTTTATTTCCAAATTTTTTTATTATGTTATATCCTTACAAGACGGAGGTAACCAATTCACTAAACACTTATTTCATCTCTTACACCATTGCGTACTCAAAACTAACTTTTTGTTTTTAAATCGATAATCTTATTGTAATAGTAGGAACATTCGCGACACATAATTTTTGCAATTTGGATTTTTGCGGTAAGCACAAGCATAGCAAGTTAAGTTTTATATTATTTTATTTTTTAGATTCAAAAGACGTTTATAAAGAATGTAAGTTCTCGAATTTTATTTTGTCCGAGCTGTGAATATGTTGCCTTACTTTCTGCATCAATGTTGGATCCCCCGGGTGCCCGCTGATCTGTGCTTACATTGTCTTTTCTCCTTACAATTTGCAGCGCATAGATTTTCCACATTAATAAGCGCATGCCCGCGGATTCGTCAATACTGCGCGGAATTATTAGCGTTCGCGATCTCTTTCATTGCTGTGCAATTGTGGTAAGCAGCGATGATCTTTCGAAACATGCTAATGAAAATTGTTATTTCATTGTCTGATGGGTTCCACGTTTTCCTGGAAAATTGTTGTGGAGGAGTTCCGTCCGTCGGCCGAGACTTTCGAATGGTTGATTGATGTTAGGCGTTTTCAGCAAGTATTTTGCAACTTTTAAATTTGTCTAGTTGGTCGTGAAAATCGAAAGATGAGGTGTGCCGCGTCTAAAGGAAATCACAAATATCTCCAAGAAACCAAAACGCCGTCTCTAACAGAATTCCTTATTGGTGGTGCGACGTGCTACGCCTAGAAGGCTAAGAATGTGTGGCAACTACGCCACGCCAGCCCACAGCTGATTTTGCTAACAGCACCCATCTGCCATACCTCTCCAACGACTGGCACTCACCAGCCATTACGCGGCGTGACGACTCAATGAGTCGGCCATTACGACGCCGTAGAAAACAGACACTCCAGCCACGCACAGACGACTTTTTCTCTTTTGCTTCAACCACTCGAGGGAACTGACCACACGTTTAGCGCTCCGCCGTACTTTTATCCAACCTTATCGTCAAAYATTAAAAACGTAAAATAACTATTTTTTGAGTAAGACGCTTTAATAAATATAGTGAATTTTGTAATAAATGGACAATCTTATGATAACGTAGAATACGATTACTCCATATTGGTGACCCCGACGTGATTAAATTGGATTTCAAAACTCTGTCTCTCCACGCGTTAAAGTGTAATTTTTCTCCATAAGCGTAGTGACGCGCCGCGTGTTTTCAAATTCAAACACTTTGATATTCATTAATTAACAAAATATACAGACAGATACGCGCAAACGTTAAYATTAATTGCAAATTCACGCTCGTTGTAATTTCTCATTCATCACTGTCTAAGATTCGTGCTAACCAGCGACCACGGGTTCTCAATCAATTCATTGACATGCCATTAGAGCACACGTCAAACAAATCAGTGAATTTTAACTCGTCAAACACGTCCACTAGTAATCCAAACGTCTTAACACCAGTCTCTTCGAACATGACCACAAACGATCCAACACTGACCATCGGTGACGCCGCCGATGTAACCCAGAACACTGCATCAGTTGTAGCTATGTCCAGTTGCAAACTCCCGCAGTTCTGGTCCATCCAGCCTCGTTTGTGGTTTGTTCAGGTTGAAGCAGTGTTACAGGTGGCCCGTATCACAAATGACGCATCACGTTACAATCAAATCGTTAGTGCTTTGGACACTGATTCAATGTTACAGCTAGCGGACTTCCTGCAGAATCCACCAGAGACCGACAAGTACGCGAAGCTGAAGGACGAGATATTGAAGCGGTTTTCGGAATCCAGCGACCGCCAGCTCACCGAGCGCTTACGGAGGTTTAACTCGACGATAAAAAACCTAGCCAGCTCCTGCGCCAACTCAGAATTCTCATGGGCGACAGGGCCTCAGAGGACTTACTGCGTATAAAATGGTTGGCATTGTTACCATCATCAACCAGCCGGTGTCTCAAGCTACTCAGAAATGCCCCTCTAGATGAGCTTGCTGAAGTTGCAGACGAGCTAATGGAAAACSAGRYTGGCCATTCCGTTATGGCTACACATCACCAGCCTGCCCAGGCAGCACACAGGGGCGACAAATTCGAAAATTCTCTGCTCACCAGCATGGCAAAGGACTTATCAGGCCTTAAACTTGCCATAGCCTGTATCAAGGACCAGGGAATTACTCGAGACCGACCCCAACCTGCATCTGGCCGTTGCCAGCAGTCATTATCGAAGGAAGAGCCAGCCTCTGACAAAAAGAGGTTCTGCTATTATCACCGTCTCTATGGGTCCAGAGCCAAAAASTGCGAGCGTCCTTGCACCTTCAACTCATCGGCGGTAAACTAA